TTTCAAAGTGAAAGACTCATAATCATTATCAAAACAGGTAGACTCGAAGTATATGATCATAAAAAGCTTTTAATTTGTCACTATAGGCTAGGGATATGCAACAAGGAAAAGGGCTATTGAACTGTTTCACTACCAGGAGTCATAACATAGCAGGAGGTCATTCCAGGACTTTTATAATATGGTTTTTATTATAGCGCCTTTATGGTTTTGATATGCCTGTATTTATCCGCTCTCTACCTGCGGTGAAGGAGAGATTAGACTACATGAGTTCAAGTCAGGTCATTGTGTGCTGCATTTATTGGTCACGTATTAACACCAACTGAAGGTTACAGAGTCATACAAGGGGTTTGATTCGCTTGTTTTTCTTACAACCAACCATTATTTTCCAAAACTTTTAGCACGTTGCTGTATAAAATAATACGTCTTCAACATCAGTCTGCAAAGGATAGACTCGGAAGGTAAAGTGTATTTTTGTATTTTCTTTTGTGGACTGACTGCAAACACACATAAAACGATTTGAGACTAGTGGAAGCTGAGTTGCAGGTGTTTTAGAATTGCAAATACAAGAAGCATAAACAACATTTAACACAGGCATATTTTGGGATCTATTGCATGGGGTGGAATAGATCATAGATAATGCAAATAACAGAATTGGCTGCTAGGTATTTGTCAGAAAGTGATTATGTTGCAAACATGTACCAATAGATCGTATCTAACTATGTGACAGAGTCCTATTCAATCAAAACCTGTCCTGTCCTTAAAAGTGGAAACCTAGTTGATTGATGAGAGCCCTAAGTGCCACTACTATTATGACAGGGCTAGAAAGGGGTAGTCCCACAGGGCTCAAAGTAGTGCACTTTATAGGGAATAGAGTGCCATTTGGGACGCACACCCTGGGACCCATATGCTGCAGCAGCCTTGGGCTCCTCACTATTGCAGCTAGAACTGGGGCTCCCACAGGCCTCGCAGTCAGCACTTTGGGGCTCTACACCTCAGCAGCCTTGGGCGCTCACCTATGCCTCGCAGTCAGACCTTGGGGCTCCTCACTATGCCTCGCAGTCAGACCTTGGGGCTCCTCACTATGCCTCGCAGTCAGACCTTGGGGCTCCTCACTATGCCTCGCAGTCAGACCTTGGGGCTCCTCACTATGCCTCGCAGTCAGACCTTGGGGCTCCTCACTATGCCTCGCAGTCAGACCTTGGGGCTCCTCACTATGCCTCGCAGTCAGACCTTGGGGCTCCTCACTATGCCTCGCAGTCAGACCTTGGGGCTCCTCACTATGCCTCGCAGTCAGACCTTGGGGCTCCTCACTATGCCTCGCAGTCAGACCTTGGGGCTCCTCACTATGCCTCGCAGTCAGACCTTGGGGCTCCTCACTATGCCTCGCAGTCAGACCTTGGGGCTCCTCACTATGCCTCGCAGTCAGACCTTGGGGCCCAAGCCTCGCAGTCAGACCTTGGGGCTCCTCACTATGCCTCGCAGTCAGACCTTGGGGCTCCTCACTATGCCTCGCAGTCAGACCTTGGGGCTCCTCACTATGCCTCGCAGTCAGACCTTGGGGCTCCTCACTATGCCTCGCAGTCAGACCTTGGGGCTCCTCACTATGCCTCGCAGTCAGACCTTGGGGCTCCTCACTATGCCTCGCAGTCAGACCTTGGGGCTCCTCACTATGCCTCGCAGTCAGACCTTGGGGCTCCTCACTATGCCTCGCAGTCAGACCTTGGGGCTCCTCACTATGCCTCGCAGTCAGACCTTGGGGCTCCTCACTATGCCTCGCAGTCAGACCTTGGGGCTCCTCACTATGCCTCGCAGTCAGACCTTGGGGCTCCTCACTATGCCTCGCAGTCAGACCTTGGGGCTCCTCACTATGCCTCGCAGTCAGACCTTGGGGCTCCTCACTATGCCTCGCAGTCAGACCTTGGGGCTCCTCACTATGCCTCGCAGTCAGACCTTGGGGCTCCTCACTATGCCTCGCAGTCAGACCTTGGGGCTCCTCACTATGCCTCGCAGTCAGACCTTGGGGCTCCTCACATGATTTTAAAGTGCTTCATATATGGAGCAGTGGTGTGTGGTTGGACTGGTTTATACTACACTCTGACAGCTGACAGGAAAAACCAGACAGGATGTGCAACATGCAACTGGGACACATTTGTGTTTTGTTCCATTCAAATTTCGATGACATCCCTCACAAATCAACCAAACAACCTGGCTTGACTCTAGTGTCAATCTAAGTATGGTTAGAAATAAGAACAGCTTCCTTCAAACAACTCAAACAAATTTATAGTATAGAGATTTTGCGCAATCAGCTATCCTAGTATCAATCAGAGATAAAAAGCTATTTGGATTTGAGATTAAGGGCTCTATTCAATCCCTATCATGGAAGTTCAGCATTACGGTGTGATTTAAATTTAAAGGCAATGTTCACGCGTTAGCGGAGACTACATTCACGGTAAACGCTGCATATGTCAGCTCAATCGGAAATTAAATTATTAAAATGTATAGCGCTATCTATAACGCTTTAGCGTACAGACTGAATAGAGCCCTAGATCATGAATATCAGGCCAAGGAGCAGTATCCCACTGGGCACAGACGTCAGTTCAACGTCTATTTTTTATTTACATTTGGTTGAGTTGTCAACTAACGTGAATTCAACGTGAAATCAACAACAACAAAATTAACATGACATTGTATTTAGGTTAAAAGTTGGGTGAAAAAAAATACTAAATTCCCTTACATTAATGACTTTTAGCAAATCCAATCAGTTTTCAATGTTGATTCAATGTCATTACATTGATTATTTTTGTTGTTGAAATGACGTGGAAACAACAATGATTCAACCAGTTTTTGCCCAGTGGGATGTCACTGTTTATTTGAGTGTAAGCAACAGCACTTTTTGTAGACAATCCCCATATTTTAAGTGATCATAAGTTTACGATTTATCATCTTTAAGTGACTATAGTGCTAAAGGTTTGCATTTGGTTGCAAATCCCTCGCTAAAATAAGTGAATTGTTATACATAATGTAGAATTGGATGTCAAACAAAATGCAAACAACAGACATTTATTTTGCTGACATAACAATAATACTGCACAGTTACGGTATACAGTGGGGAAAAAAAGTATTTAGTCAGCCACCAATTGTGCAAGTTCTCCCACTTAAAAAGATGAGAGGCCTGTAAATTTCATCATAGGTACATGTCAACTATGACAGACAAAATGAGAAAAAAAATCCAGAAAATCACATTGTAGGATGTTTAATGAATTTATTTGCTAATTATGGTGGAAAATAAGTATTTGGTCAATAACAAAAGTTTCTCAATACTTTGTTATATACCCTTTGTTGGCAATGACACAGGTCAAACGTTTTCTGTAAGTCTTCACAAGGTTTTCACACACTGTTGCTGGTATTTTGGCCCATTCCTCCATGCAGATCTCCTCTAGAGCAGTGATGTTTTGGGGCTGTCGCTCCTTTGTTGCCCGGGCGGTGTGTTTGGAATCATTGTCATGCTGAAAGACGCAGCCAGGTTTTCACTCAAAATCTCACGATACATGGCCCCATTCATTCTTTCCTTTACACGGATCAGTCGTCCTGGTCCCTTTGCAGAAAAGCAGCCCCAAAGCATGATGTTTCCACCCCCATGCTTCACAGTAGGTATGGTGTTCTTTGGATGCAACTCAGCATTCTTTGTCCTCCAAACATGACGAGTTGAGTTTTTACCAAAAAGTTCTATTTTGGTTTCATCTGACCATATGACATTCTCCCAATCCTCTTCTGGATCATCCAAATGCACTCTAGCAAACTTCAGACGGGCCTGGACATGTACTGGCTTAAGCAGGGGGACACGTCTGGCACTGCAGGATTTGAGTCCCTGGCGGCGTAGTGTGTTACTGATGGTAGGCTTTGTTACTTTGGTCCCAGCTCTCTGCAGGTCATTCACTAGGTCCCCTCGTGTGGTTCTGGGATTTTTGCTCACCGTTCTTGTGATCATTTTGACCCCACGGGGTGAGATCTTGTGTGGAGCCCCAGATCGAGGGAGATTATCAGTGGTCTTGTATGTCTTCCATTTCCTAATAATTGCTCCCACAGTTGATTTCTTCAAACCAAGCTGCTTACCTGTTGCAGATTCAGTCTTCCCAGCCTGGTGCAGGTCTACAATTTTGTTTCTGGTGTCCTTTGACAGCTCTTTGGTCATGGCCATAGTGGAGTTTGGAGTGTGACTGTTTGAGGTTGTGGACAGGTGTCTTTTATACTGATAACAAGTTCAAACAGGTGCCATTAGTACAGGTAACGAGTGGAGGACAGAGGAGCCTCTTAAAGAAGTTGTTACAGGTCTGTGAGAGCCAGAAATCTTGCTTGTTTGTAGGTGACCAAATACTTATTTTCCACCATAATTTGCAAATAAATTCATTACAAATCCTACAATGTGATTTTCTGGATTTTTTTTCCTCATTTTGTCTGTCATAGTTGACGTGTACCTATGATGAAAGTTACAGGCCTCTCTCATCTTTTTAAGTGGGAGAACTTGCACAATTGGTGGCTGACTAAATACTTTTTTCCCCCACTGTAAGAGGTAGCTTGTAGTATGTCTCACTTTGTTTAGTTTTAGAGGTAGGTATTTTTCCTCTGTAAAAATCTAATCCAACCAGCCTCTTTTAGCTTGGCCTTAGAGAACCAAACTGACTGGCTTTTAACCCAGAGTATCACCAGAATATGTGAAAGTGATACGTTATGGTGAAAGCATTTGTCAGAGAGTGACAGCTAAATGTGAAGTAAAGGATATTATTTGTTTTCTAACTGGCTTCATGTAGCACCAATAGCCTAAAATAGCCTTTCTTCTTCTTCTTCTCGTCTCTCTTCTTACTTCTTCCTCCCCCTCCCTTTCTGTCCCTTCTCCTCCCCTGCTCACCTCTCCCTTTCTCCCCACATTCTCCTTTTCCATCCATTCTCCACTCCTCTCTTCCCCTCTTTGGTTTCTCTCTTCTCAAGAACGAAGTGAGGGCATGGCAGCTCGTGTGGAAATGGCCTCTGGTGAGGTGGGCCAAGCAGGAGGGGCTGGCGTCAAGCCTGCGCCCGGCCCCAATCCTCGCCTGATTCCCAAACCCTTCTCACTGCAGAGGAACACCACCTTACGCTCCATCCTAGCCCCAAAGACACTCACAACGACTCCACAGCCATCTCAGACCACACCCACTACACCCACGACCTCCAGCAAACCAGGGCCTAATCAGCCTATCAGTGCCCCTGTGTCTGACTCAAGCAGCGCTGTGAAACTCGATGCAGAGAGCACCATGATACCTGAACCGACTAATGCTCTCAAAGCTCCTTCAGCCATAACACCCCACACTGACTCAACCCACACCACTAAACAAAACCAAGCTGCTCTTTCCACATCCAGCTCCCTTACTGCCCCAACATCTGAGCCACCGGCTAGTACCATATCTGACCCAACTGGAACCTCAGAGGCAAATCAAGTCAGTGAATCTGAACTGGAATGAACATGGAGACTCTGATACAGGCCACTCCGCTACTGGAACTGAGGCTGTACCATCACCATCGGTTACCTCAGCTCCCCTTCAACCCCAGTCTGAAGACACTGTGAGCGAGCCCACCTCTGCGGTCGTCAGGCACCAAGCTGGGGAGGATCAGGCAGCCCACTGGGGAGGAGGCAGGAAGAGGCTGTCCATGGAGCTCACCTCCAGGGTTGAGTTGGCCGGCCGCTCGCTCCCCTCACAGCCACCAGCCAAAGACAACAAACAGAACCAGGAACAGGCGACCAAGAGAGAGACTGCAGTCCTCAAAGTGTCTGTCCTCAGGACCAAGGAGGAAGAGAAGATACCAGATTCACCAGGGACACCGTTTGACCCGGAGTGCAGACTCAAGCACTCAGCAACGCTGAAGGAAGAGAGGGATGGAGAAGGGGTAAAGGAGGAAGGAGAAGAGAAAGTGAGCTGCATACAACGGAGGATCAGTTTGCTGCTGGACTACTCCTCGAGGCCAGAGGCTCTGACCAAGAGGGAGGAAGTACCTGGTCCAATTAAACAAGCAGACGGTTCTGGGGGTGTGAAACAGCGAATTAAAGACTGGGCATTAGACACACCTCCTGTTCAGGCATCCAATCAGAGGGTGGATGTTGCCCCTCAACCAATCCCTATCAGAGTTTACCCTGCATTGGGTGTTACTGGGGGGTCGTTGGCGACGAGCGAAAGCGTTCAGCTAGCTCCCCAAGAGGACAAGGCTTATACCCTATGTCGCTCAGGACATTCTGGGATAAAGGTTAATAGGGAGGAGATAGAGGATGAGGAAGAGGAGGGAGAAGAGGAGGAGGGAGAGGAGAAGAGGGCCCAGGTGGCACTCTACAAACCAGTAGGGAGACTTCTTCGGATGAAAGATGGAGGGAAGAAACAGGAGCTAGTGATTGATCAAATAGAGAAAGATATGGAGACCAAGGTGCAAGAGGAGGAAAAAGTGAAACAGCTGGAGCTAGAAGAGAGACAGGCAGTGAAGGAGAGGGAGAAAGAAAAGGAAAGGGAGAGACAGAGAGAGGAAAAAGAGAGAAAGACGAAAGAAGAGGGGAGAGAAAGGCAAAGAGAAATAGAGAGGGAAAGGGATAGACAGCGTCAAAGAGAGGAGGAAGAGAGGGAGAGAAAGAGGAAGGAAGAGGAGAGGGAGAGAGATAGACAAATTCAACTTGAGAGGGAAAAGGAGATACTGAGAAAGGAGGAAGAGAGGGAGAGGAGGAAAGAAGAGGAGAGGGAGACAGAAAGACAGATAGAAGTGAAGCGGGAAAGGGTTAGACAGAGAGAGGAAGAAGAGAGGGAGAGGATTAGAGTGGAAGAGGGGAGATTGAGAGAGAAGGAAATGGACAAACTCATAGAAGAGGAGAGAGAAAGGGAAAGAAAGAGAGAGGAGGAAAGGATGAAGGAAGATGAGAGACAGAGAGAAGAAGGGCGGGCAAGAGAAAGACAAAGAGAGGAAGAGAGCGAGAAAGAAGAGTCCCCAGTACAGTTGATCACTCTTGAACCTGACCAACCTCCCAAGCCAGAGCCTCCTTCTCGTTCCCCTACCATCCCCATCATAGAACCCATACCGAAGGATGAGGAGCAGCCTCACATCAATGTGGTCTACAACTTTTCTATCAAAGAGGAGAAGCCTCTTATTGAGGTGGTCTATGATAATTTCTCTGTCAAGCTCGGGAGGTGGGGGTCTCAGGCCAGGCTCCTTGCTGACCGTGCCCAGGTTGAGACACCTTCCCCTGGAAGGTCACCGGGCCCCTCAGACACCGACCTCCAGAGAACCGTTTAACGCCCAGGAGCCACTCCGCGTCAAACCTCACCAAGCCGAGGGGGACATAGAGTGGGGAGTCCCCACCCCAGATAAAGGGATGGAGAAGGAGGACGAGAAGGTGGATGCGGAAGAAAACGTGGACACAGAGGAGGTAAGCAAGGGGACGGTGAGAGGGGGAGGGAGAGAATTTGAAAATGATCTCCACAAAAAAGGTATTTCATGGCCTTTTTCCTTTGCAACACTAGTATGGACAGACTTACCATGGGCTTAAAACCTGGTGTTATACTAGGGAAATTGTGTTTCCATAGCTAGGGCTGACACTATGGACAAGCAGAAACAACAAGCTCTTTATTTAATTATGCAGTACAAGCTATTATGAGATCTCAAGGCAGCCCACATGAAAAAAATACTATAGTATACTATGGTCTAAATACTGTAGTACTATTATATTTATATAATATAGTATTCACTGTAGTGTTTTTGCAGACTTTACTGTAGTATTCACTGTAGTGTTTTTGCAGATTTTACTGTAGTATTTTTGCGGACATGACTGTAGTATACTGTTGTTTTTGCGGACATGATTGTAGTGTTTTTGCGGACATGACTAGTATAGTGTAGTGTTTTTACGGACATGTCTGTAGTATACTATAGTAGTCACTAGTGTTTTTGCAGACTTTACTGTAGTATTTACTGTAGTGTTTTTGAGTACATGACTGTAGTATTTTTGCAGACATGACTTTAGGACATTGTAGTAACACTCGCCAACTAGAATATAAACAGTTAACTGCATTTATATAAACAATAAATATTTTTGAAATACAAATGACTTTACTTAAAGACAGTCCCCTTTTTGCAGGGCGCTGCCAATAAACTGTCTGGACCTCAAACCAGCAAAGCCTCTCCAAACAAACCAACTGAAAACAAAAGGACATTATTGCAGTGGCTTTACATAATGAACCTCTAGAATATTGTCAGACGTGAATAAACTCACTGATGGTTAAACTCAACACATACCATTCAGAACAATCAACCACTACCCAAACATTTCTTCTAGACAGTATGGTCACAAAATGGTTCACAGAAATAAACCAACAGCAACGCCGAGGTACAGCCTATACACACAAAGTACCTTCCAGGTACAACATTCTCATGACCAAGAGGTGATTTTATACATTTCCTGCATGTCTCCCCTATTAGGGGTACCCAGGGAAACACAGACCAAAACTTTAGTTCCTAGCCTGTCACGCTATTCTTCAGTTACAAGATTGTAACAGATTGAGGTTTAGGTGAGGGGTTATGGTGATGCCGGTCTACTGTGGGACTCCAGTTAAAGAGCAGGCAGAGGCAGAGATGCAGTTCAGTTTAAGAGTCTATAGATTCAGGTAATGGAGATGATACATTGAAGGGAATGATTGAGAGTTGTTGACATGAGACTTTTGACTTGAGACTTGGTTGACTTTGTATGGAGAATGGTTGATCTAAAAGGAGACACAGAAAGGTGCAAATAATAATGGGCAATAACAGCAATGAACATACATAATTAATCAGCTGTTAATGGCAATAATCAATTACAATATGCAAATGCCTTAAGCATACAGTACCAGTCAAAAGTTTGGACACACCTACTCATTTAAGGGTTTTTCTTTATTTTTACTATTTTCTACATTGTAGACATTCTAAACAAATCAAAATATATTTTAGATTTTAGATTCTTCAAAGTAGCCACCCTTTGCCTTGATGACAGCTTTGCACACTCTTGGTATCCCTCTCAACCAGCTTCATGAGGTAGTCAACTGGAATGCATTTCAATTAACAGGTGTGCCTTGTTAAAAGTTAATTTGTGGAATTTCTTTCCTTCTTAATGCGTTTGAGCCAATCAGTTGTGTTGTGACAAGGTAAGGGTGGTATACAGAAGATAGCCCTATCTGGTAAAAGACCAAGTCCATATTATGGCAAGAAGAGCTCAAATAAGCAAAGAGAAATGACAGTCCATCATTACTTTAAGACATGAAGGTCAGTCAATCCGGAAAATGTCAAGAACTTTGAAAAAATTGGGTTTAAATTATCCAGGCTCTGTCGTAGCCGGCCGCGACCGGGAGACCCATGGGGCGGCGCACAACAGCGTCGTCCAGGGCAGGGGAGGGAATGGCTGGCAGGGATGTAGCTCAGTTGGTAGGGCATGGCGTTTGCAACACCAGGGTTGTGGGTTTGATTCCCACGGGGGGCCAGTATGAAAAAAATAAAAATAATGTATGCACTCACTAACTGTAAGTCGCTCTGGATAAGAGCGTCTGCTAAATGACTAAAATGTAAATTAGATTTTTTTACCCCTACAGATCTACACAACCTACTACACATTTTCAAAGTGAAAGAAAGTTCTAAAACCTTTTCCAAATTAATTAGAAATAAAAAATCGAAGATGTCTCACTAACTGTAAATCGCTCTGTCCACATACTTTTGGCCATGTAGTGTGTGTATATACTGTATATACTGAACAACAATATAAACACAACATGTAAAGTGTTTGTCCCATGTTTCATGAGCTGAAATAAAAGATCCCAGACATTTTCCAAAAACCTTATTTCTCTCAAATGTTGTGCACAAATTTGTTTACATCCCTGTTAGTGAGCATTTTATCCTTTGCCAAGATAATCCATCCACCTGACAGGTGTGGCATATCAAAACGCTGATTAAACAGCACGATCATTACACAGGTGCACGTTATGCTGGGGACAATGAAAGGCCACTCTAAAATGTGCAGTTTTGTCACACAACACAATGCCACAGATTCCTCAAGTTTTGAGGGAGCGTGCAATTGGCATGCTGACTGCAGGAATGTCCACCAGAGCTGTTGCCAGAGAATTGAATGTTAATTTCTCTACCATAAGCCGCCTCAAACGTCGTTTTAGAGAATTTGGCAGTACGTCCAACCGGCCTCACAACCGCAGACCACGTGTATAGTGTTGTGTGGGCGAGCGGTTTGCTGATGTCAACCTTGTGAACAGAGTGCCCCATGGTGGCGGTGGGGTTATGGTATGGGCAGGCATAAGCTACGGACAACGAACACAATTGCATTTTATCGATGGAAATTTGAATGCACAGAGATACCGTGACGAGATCCTGAGGCCTATTGTCGTGCCATTCATCCGCCGCCATCACTTCATGTTTCAGCATGATAATACACGGCCCAATGTCGCAAGGTTATGTACACAATTCCTGGAAGCTGAAAATGTCCCAGTTCTTCCATGTTCTGCATACTCACCAGACGTCACCCATTGAGCATGTTTGGGATGCTCTGGATCATGTGTATGACAGCGTGTTCCAGTTCCTGCCAATATCCAGCAACTTCGCACAGCCATTGAAGAGGAGTGGGACAACATTCCACAGGCCACAATCAACAGCCTGATCAATTCTATGCAAATGAGGTGTGTCGCGCTGCATGAGGCAAATTGTGGTCACACCAGACACTGACTGGTTTTCTGATCCACGCTCCAACCAAAGCATATCTGTATTCCCAGTCATGTGAAATCCATAGATTAGGGCCTAATGATTTTATTTCAATTGACCAATTTCCTAATATGAACTGCAACTCAGTAAAATCTTTGAAATTGTTGCATGTTGCGTTTATATTTTTGTTCAGCATATAAACTCCAGTGTAGGACTAGGCATATAAGGAAGATAAGTCATGTGGAGATCATATATTCATATTGAAACATACCATTTCTTTTGTTCTTAACTTTTTTGATAAGGTTAGTACATATTTTCTCAGGGGACCCCACATGGGGACCAGACCCCAAGTTTGGGAATGACTGTACTAAACTCCTCCTGCATGTATTGCAGCCTGCCTCAGCCTCACCTCAGTAGCCTACTCTCTGTAAAGCAATGTTATTATGAGAACTTAGTAGCCTATTTTTTTGCTCCTGCTGAGGTAGGCTCCTTTTAACATTAGCTTCTTACTTCATCCTTCTAGCTGGCTAAGTAATACTAGCCAGAGCCCTTCAACGTTACTGCAATATAAGTTTCTGCCGGCAGCTAGCCACCTGAATGACTATCTATAAGCGACTATTTACCAGTTGTGCAGTCATTTTCAGAGAGTCGTTTTTTGTTCGTTTGTGGGATGTCTGTAGACACGACAGGAGTTACAGGACAGTTTTAAATTGCCTTTTGTCTGGCATCTCGCATACACAATCCTGTCAGCAGCGTCTCTAGTTGCCTACTTGAGCCGACTCCGAGCTGAAGTAGTTTGTTTCATGTCTCAGGCCCTCGGCCTGTGCCACGAGAGGGCGGAGTTAGCCGTTTGAGAAAGTGGTGAATGTGCTGCTAAAAAGGCAAATCCGGGAGGCATATCCGGGGGACGCAGGCGAACATAAAGAACAAACCACTGTTTATGATTCCACTCGTTTGCAAAGAGGCACGATTAGAACTCCGTCAGATCAAGAATATAAGCAATCTGAGCTTTGATCAACGCTGCGAGCAATATTTACATGTTGACCCGTAACTGATTTTAAACTTCTTTTTTTGGACGTTGATTCTTGGTCCGGTCCAGACTAAACATAGACATCTATGATTGGTTCAGATTTGGTCCTGTCCGGACTGGCCTTGATTTGGCCCAAATATAGATGTCTATGTAGGGTATTTGCCTTTCACGCCACGACCTGGGTTTGTCGGTCCCTACGTTGGTGTCAGAAATGGGATGGCAGCCATGACCGTGAAACATCATGACTGGTAGTCGAAGCAGTATGGTGGAATCTCCTTCTACTAGCCCAGAATTCCACTGATCCTGCTTTTAGATTTGTGGGAGTACTGATGTGAACTAGTATAGGCCTACACTTCCAACTAAGCATTTACTGATGGCGACATCTTTTGGCAGTCTTTTTTTGGGGTGTTCTTTTGGTGCAGTCCGGACCGGCCATGATTTCAACGTGTTGATTCTTGGTCCGGTTCAAACATATACGTCTATAATTGGTTCAGATTTGGTCCGGACCTGTGTTGATTGGCCCAAACATAGAAGTCTACAAGGCTGCCTTTACACAGGCAGCTCAATTCTGATATTTTTTCCACTAATTGGTCTTTGGTCCGGACCAAATCTGAACCAATCATAGACATCTATGTTTCACAAGTTTGGACAGCACAGTACATTACAGTAGAGCACAACAGAGTACAGTACAGTAGAGTTTAATTCAGTAGAGTACACTACATTACAGTACAGTACACAGTAAAGAAAAATAGAGTATAGTACAGTACAGTACATTAAAGTACAATACAGTAGAGCACAGTAAAGTACAATAAAGTAAAGAGAAGTATAGTGTACTGTATTGTACCCTACTTTACTCTAATATGGTATATACTGAACTAA